ACACACACACACACACACACACACACACACACAGAGCAGCAGCTGGGCAAAGCCCTGAGCAGCAGCGATTGGTCACACACGACCATCGATATCTGAGTAGAACCAATCAGCTCGGCTTCCTGTGTTTGACCTGACCCTTCACGCGTGGTAATTGAATATTTAAAATGGGAAGCTGAGAGGTGGAAGGAAGACAAGCAGAGGAGAGGAGGAAAAGGAGGCCGCGCTGCACTTTTCCATGTACTGTGCCACCTTAAATATCGGTCTTCTTACCATCCACACTCAAAAAAGATGAGCGTAAGACACACGTGATGGGCAAATGTGGTCTTCACTGAAAAAGTATGTGTTATATTTAAAACTGCAGATGTTACGTTTATTTACATTTCTCAGCATTTTGATTTAATCACAGTACACTCTAAAAGTACAACATCAGGATTTTATAATGGTTTAAATAATAAAAACTGATCAAACAATTAAATTATTTTTTTGCATTCATGTTGCAAATCAGAGATTTCTTAAAAACAGCTTAACATTAAGTTTCCTGTAAGAAACTAGATAATTTGCTGCTGATCATATGTAATTTAAATTAAACGATAAATGATTGCTAATTATTTCATTAGGTATTAGTTCATTTTTGTTTCTTTGCGTTCGTCACCACTGTATGGTTTTTGAACAATAACAAAACTGCATTATTAAAACAATTTGTACTGAAACTTATCCTGGAACAATTAAATGATTATTAAAACATCTTTGTTTATATAAACCTGTGTTATCCAAGTACAACAAGTTTTCTTTATAATAAGTACCATATTTTTTAGCACTTTCAAGGGAACTATCAGGAAGTTATCAACTCTTTAGGGATCCATTAATTCGTTTTTTCCTTCTATTTAATTCTCCAGAAAATAATTTGGGACTTTTTGGTACTCATCTCTTCCTGCTGAATCCAGTTTATGACTCTTTAAACTCGCTGTTTCATATCCTGCACATGAATCATATGGAAGTCTAACCAATCCCCCCTGTTGCAATTAGTTTTTTTTCGCTGAGCCAGCATTTGTGGCTTTGAGCAGCTTTTCATCCACCAACACAGACATGCAGACACACACCCTGTGCACAAGCAGAAGGGTCAGCCACAGGGACACAACCCACAGCCCACCAGATCCCTTCCTGTCAGCAAGTGGCACTCCTGTAGGAACCTGGACAGGGAGGTGTTGACTGGAGGGGAGAGCTGCTAGGTATCAACACCTGACACACACACATACAAACACAGGCTTCTCCCTGCGGTGTTGCTCACACAGGAGTTGTCTCCTGCACATCTGGTGAAAACATCCCTTGCACATATGTTGAGATGCACACAGTGGAGGGGGCAGGCGGTGAAAGACTCTCCCAGCTTTAATCATGTTGAAAGAGAAGAGACGGCCATTGAGGGTTAAAATTAGATTTGAAACACACACACACAAAAGTATCAAATACATTTTGTGGTTCTTACCACAAAAGGAACACGGAATTTGAATTTTAGACCCCCAAAAAAACGGTGGAGAAAAAAAATGACTGACAGCTGTTAGATCACCGAGGTCAGTGGAAAATAAGAAGAACTGAGGACTTAAAGGAGCGGGTGCGTGCTCAAACGTACTGCAGACCTCGAACTCATCAAAGTGTCTGGAAGCAAGCGCAAACAAGAGACTCGTGTCAGTCTGCGAGCACTGATGATGATGATTGTGGATGTAGTTAAGTTTGTGCTGATGATGATTAGGAGGGACACAAAAGAGGTCAGAGGTGACCGAGTGTCACTCCGGAGAGCTCCCCTCGCTACAGGGTTGCGAACGTGTTCATATGAAGATATATGTGTGTGTGTGTTAGGACGGCACCTGTAATGGCTCCCAGCTGGGACGTGCCTCCCTCCCAGAGATACACTGTGTGTGTGTGTGTGTGTGTGTGTGTGTGTGTGTGTGTGTGTGTGTGTAATGAGGTACTGGCATGCGAGTGGCAGAAGGCTGCTTCCTCTACAG